ATTATTAAAAGATTCGCTTTCATGCGCAAAGTATATATACCTATATTATATATATGTACTCGCTATTCTAAAATTGGCAGAGTCCGTACGGCAACTAGAAATATACGCAATACGGCCTCTCTGCCGGTATGGTTTATAGGTATATTATATATATACGTAACGTATTAACCCACCTACACACATCCACTCACGCACAGCCTCGGATATATAGCCGAGCGATTCCGAGACACCCACTGCAGTTCTTGCACTCTCTATTTCCATGAGGGAAATCTTGACGTGTATATGATATATACAGACCGCACCAATGGAGGTTTGTAGGCGTTGAAAAAAAAAAAAAAATGTACAACTTAAGATTGAACAGCCGCCTATATTATTTCCAATGTTTAAAAAAACTACATCCGATCGAACGGTGACTTTTTTTTAACAAACGAGAGAGCAAATTGTCGCGCGTTAGATTCTCGATTTACTTTCACCAAAGGATATACATATACGTACTTATAGATACGAGAATCTTAATTGCGCTTCCGTTATCCGCAGCTTGTCTCGGTCGATCCTTGGCACTGCTCTCTCGTGGGCTTATTCAGCCTTTGTCGACGGGGTCAACTGATTTTCATCGGAAGGAAGATACACCATATCCCCCTCTATCCGAGTGGAGCCGCTCGGACGGATCAGGGGACAAAGTATTACTGGGCTCTTTTTCTGCCCCGTCCTCTTGTTGCCTTCTCTGACATTTCCTGCACGCGCGAGTTCTTGACCTTCGTGTATCTGCATGGGTAAGGAGGGCGGTGTATAGGTACATCTTTGGTAAATGTAATGGTTCGGTTCAAGGGGGGACAGTAATGGAAATTGACAGTCCGGAATAATTTCATTGTACTCCGGATCTCGCCGGATGTGGTCCAGTTGGTTGCGACAATGAACTTTTACCCTCATTCACTTAATGTCCATGATTCACTTTTTTTTTATTTTTTTTTTTTTTACATCGTTTTTTAACGAAAGTTACACAACTTTCTCTACAAAAGACAACAATATTCATGTGACGTTATTTTCTGATTTTCTACTGTCGCAAAGTTTAAAAAAATTATGTTTTGCGGTGATGAAGAAGTCATAAGTTCGCTGGTATGAACTACTGTGACATCAATACAACGATGCAAACTTGTAATAGCAAATAAGCTTGAAGTACCTCAAAAAATATATTAAAATTTTTCGAAACCCATGTTGCAGTTAATGCAGTCTACTTTCAAGGCTTTAGGGGTACTTAGTTTTTTTAAATATATTTTGCGTCCAACTCTACTCTAAATGTTTTCGTTAGTTTTTTCTGTTGTGCAGTGAACACACTAAACGGAAGTAAATTATATATGAGTGATAACGAATGTCAATAACGGATATTTTTAGAAAAACGCTATCAGTACAAAAATCTTAAGGACAGTGGTGTGAAACTTTTTAACAATACGTGATAACTGACCATAACGAAACGAATCTTCCATTCTTACGTATTAATGTATATTTGAAGCTTTCAAATTGAACATGCCTGAAAGTAAACTACAGTTGATCTTTGGTACTTCGCCTAATTGATGTCATTCGTCTGTTAAATCATACACATATCAATTTTTAAAAAATTTTTTTTTATTGCTTCGAATGGCATTGTACGTTGCGTGAGAATTTTCTGCTTCACATCAAAGCACTTGAAGATATGACGCACAACATTCTTTCTTATCTCGTCCACTTATCTTTATCACTCATGCGTGCTTTTTACAAGAACTCATTGGTGTAAAACCCACGGCCGAATACGTTAGACGTATATGACATGCTACGGAATATTAAAAATTTTTACCGATGGTACGTACACAGCCGAGTAATTTAACATAAAAATTAACGAGGTGAAAGTTTTCCTTTGATAACGATTTTTATCAAATCTGTTTTTTGAAACAATTCCTCAAAAATCAGTATCAACTTAAATTTTGAAAATTTAGATACTTTAGAAAATCCGTTTCTTCATAATTGATACCCCCCATTTTCAAATTTAATTTCGATATTGTTAAATAATTCTTAATAAAATATTTGATGAAGTATCACTATAAACTGTGTAATTTATGCGGGGGAAATTTCAGATTTGTGACTACATCTTTTTATTATGTTTCTTGTCTGAAACAACAATGCACGATAAGTTGTTTTTTCTTTTCGAACAACAATAATATAAAATAACAATTATCTTATGCTTTTGAAAGTTGATGTTTTGTTAATCATTTTCTTATTTATAAAAAAGTATACTACGAAAAAAAAAAAAAAAAAAAAAATACGGAGGTCAGAATCTTTAAAATGTGCCGGGGGGTGGGGGGTACTTTTTCCTGATACCTAACAAAAAATTTCTGAATAAAAACAAGGGCGGATGTTTGATAAAAGTAGCCTCGAAAGTAGCCATCAAATTATGGGCGTCTTGCACTTCCTAGGCCCTCGACGAATCGGATACCTATGCAATGCTACCAATAGTTGCTCAAACCTCGCCTTTTCTATAACTTTGGAGCTTTTTTTTGTTTACGTACTCAGATTTTTTTTTCTCTCCCACGTGCAATTCCTTGCCACACCGGCTGTTTATCTGTAAAAGTGTGTATGCGTGCATACTTCTTCTTGGCCGTTTGTCAGCGGTGCAAACGATGTTTATGGCGAAACTAGTTTGTCCAAGAGTATGTGGCTTTTTGCTCCCACTCAGAGACACTCCTGCTTGAGAGCATCGCGGATAAGTAGTGTATCGGGACCATCGAGAGCGTGTATTAACGTTGGGAGGAAAAATACACGAATGGGTAACTGTGCATGAGTCTAGATGAGATCGATCTATTTTCCCTGGAGAAAAAATATTAATAAGTTTTCATCGAATACCAGCAGGTTGATAATCATATTAATATGATGGTTTTATAAAAAAATCGGGTGGTAAAAAATGACTGAAAAAAAAGACAAACAAGAGAAGGGGTTGATACTCGAGGAGGATACCTGCTGGACGTTTGAAATTCGATCTACACCAGAGACAAATCGAAGCTCTAGCTTTTAGCATTACTCGCTTATTGCTGCGTATGTACGGCTTCGTCAGCGATGGTCGTGCAATTTTTGTACCCTCCTTCTAATTTCATTGTCAACTTTTTTTTTTTTTTTTGTTATCCTCTAGTGTTTAAAAATATATTTGTGTACAAAGCGTGGTCTTACTTGGTTTTTTCCGCCGAGTGTCGAATTATTTTGTTTGGAAAGTTAATGGAAAATCGAGGAAAATGAAACGGCGGGAAAGACCCCCTGTAGTCTGACATTATTTTGGATTACATAGCATCAAGTTTCGCTGACGTACGAGCTTCTTCTCTCTCGGTTATTAAAAATACTGTCACAGCGTGTGGAAAAAAAAACAAACTTATGAACTCGCTTGTATGATCAATATTTGTATTTATCAAGTCAGCAATTATAAGAGTAATCGTGTCATGTAATGTGAATTATTAACTATGTGCACAAACAAAACAATAATTTATTGTATTTACAAACAAATTCTAATCACAAATCAGAATCAGCTGTCGTTTAAAAATATAATAAAAAATAGAAGCTACACGTAATACCCGATACTACGCATCCAAAATACAATGATCTAGTGCACTGAGAATTAAAAAAATCAGTTTAAATGATCGATATCTGGTACAGTTATAAGTGAAAATTTAAATGACACTTGTCTCGAATAGAAAGAACCTGTATGTAATGGTAAGTATTTGTATTTACGCAACTTAACGAAAATATTCCTTAAGTAACTACCCTCTTCCTGTACATGTAGAAATAGCTAAACTACCAGATTTTTTTTATGGTATGACGATCACATGTTGTGTGGAAGTTGGATCCTAAAAGTTCAAGGTCATGTGCGGCAATTCAAAAGGTCCCCCTCTTTTTTTTACTTTTTATATTTTTGTTTGTAGTACAAGGAAAGTCCAGACTCAGAATCATAAAACGAGCGCAAGCAACCCTCACAAGCAGTTTGTAAGACAAAATTTGATCTTTCGTTGTTTTGCCTCAGCACCAACTCCCCCACCTCACATCGAGAATTTTTTTTTTCACACCTTCTTTTACGATTTATAGTTGAAACGGTCAGCGTATTAATAGCTTCCCAATACTTGAGATACTTTGCATTCTATAGCCTCACAGCTTATGAAAACAGTCATCAAAAAATTTTTTCTCGTCAACCTAATGGATTATTAATGGTAACATAATATATTCTGGCGTATTGGTGATAACCACAGCTGACAACTGGCTATAATTTTTTTTCCCATTTAGATAAGAGTTTAAAACAACATGTACATATTTTATATCGATACTATGTTGTACTAAAACTTTCAATTTTGATTTGGACCTACCAAAGCTCTCTTGGCCAAGATTTATCATTAATAACAATACAAAGCTGTTTTTAGTATTACTTACTTTGTTGATAACAGTAAAAATACATTTTTTATCAGTCGCAAATGTTTTTGGTAGCAGTACATTACAGTGACTATCAAATGAAAGATATCGAAAAAATGCATCGGGCATTCGGTAGATAACGATAATGGAAAGAAAAAAAAAACGCATGACAAGCGATGTATAAGTTTTCCGCTTAAATTTTAGGGTCACAGAAAATTTTACGCCTCCACTTGGGTGTATATCTGGCCACGCGATCTCCCATTGAGAGCCACACGACCGGGGCCCACATACACACATACCACTGCAGGCAGCAGCTCCGGGGTTCGCGCGTAAGTATAAGCGAGATATTTTTATCTGGCGGGCCGAAATAAATCGGAGTCTCGTGTCTAGACGGCAAAAGAGGATCGTCGTCGACGACGAGCCACGGAGAAGAAAACTTCCGAAAGGAAGGAGCGATAAACTTAAGAGATAAAAGAGCAACAACGCTACAATATACAAAAGACGGAGGAGGAGGAAAAAGGAAAGTCGGGGAGGCTCTCTCTCCGGGTGATCGGTAACCGAGTATACAGCACAGACACACGTACCTAGATCCTCGACGAGGCGCAGCATGACACCGCCGATGTGCAGGTCGCCCTTGACTCTCAAGCTCCGCTCGACGCTCAGGTCGGTCACGTAGATCCTCAGCACCCAGCTGCCATCGATCTCGTGACCGTCCGTGTAGATCCTCGTGCTCGTCGACATCTTGGGGCTTCTCTCGACTTTTTTTTTTTTTTTTTCTTCAAACTCTCCGAAACCTCACCCGCGCAAAACGATATTATTTTGCAACAACAAACAATAACAACACTCTCGAGCTGTCCGCCAGCCGATGATCCGCGCAGCTACAGCATTAATTTATCGTTGGTACTTGCGTATATATATATTATTATATGTTGTGTATGCTCGCTCTCGCTCAGCAGCGGCTCCGAAACAGCCACATCGTTGTCCTCTTGCCGCGCAGTGCGCTATCCAGCTTGCGTAGGCGCACACAAGTTTGGCAAAACTTTGGATTATCGGTGATAACAAAGGGATAGAACCAAGTTTATGTGGTGCACATACGCACAATGTTATTACGGGTATATTATCGAAGAATCGACAACAGGACACGATGATCGAACGACGCGACGCGCACCCGTACGTCGTGGTAATACCGAGCCGACTGACGAACCAACGACCGAGAGAAAACTGCGGCGAACGGTGAACTTTGCCGTGAGCGGTAGAGAGCGCGCTCTGTTTCGCGGCCGATCTTCGGGACTCCTCGGCCGAGATCGGCTCGATTCTCTGTCTTTCTCTCCTATATGGGGCATTTCGCGAAAATCCATGCATGCCCGACGCGTTCCATTATTTCATGACGAAATTCTTTTTAAACTTGGGTTTTGATATTATAATTTTCCCGTAATTTGTTCTTAGTCAAGAATAAACGATTTAAAAAACCGGGTAACTTTTCAGCTGTACGAACAAGCATGTAAATTTTAATAAGCTTTTCTGAAAACATAAAAAATTGTTTACAGCAGTGATAAAACAATGATAAAATCCTGATTATGCATTGATTGGGGAAAACATTTTTCGATTTGTGTAAAGTACTATTAAAACATTTTTTTTTTTTTTTTTTTGATGATACGTGAGTAAAAAAATTGCTACCATAATATGTTTAAATACATTGTTTGAGATCAAGTGTGTATAACGCAATGCGTCAGGCAGATGATTTTTGCGCAAGTTCGACAATTACCGTAGACGAGATACACATATGCTATCTTTAAACGAATTTATGTAAGTATAATTACCTACATAATTAGTTGTGCCTATAAAATGAGCCCTGCTGGTGAACATTCATTAATTTACTTACTTAAAAGTAAAAAAAAAAAAAGATTATTTTCAATATAATATTGTAACTAAAAAACCAACAAACTTAAACGTCTGCAAATTTTTGAAATTGTAGCTTCAAGGAAAAAATTGCATCACGTTGCATATTAATTTTTTACACGTATTTATTTTTACATTTTATAATTTATAAAATACAAAAGCCTTGATAGTTTTATTTATGTATAAAGAAACTTTTTATTTTCATAAGAGTAGGGCTGAGTTAGATAAGCTTTTCGATTGCTGTCAGTTCAACCAAATCTCTTATTCCATAGATCTTTGAATGACGTCCTGAAATTAAATACAATAGTAATTATCATTGTCAACGTAAGTTCATATTTATATTATGTATTACCTCATAATAATGAACAGTAGACATTGAAAAAAAAAATTATGTTGATCCAAATAAACGTTTACTTTAATACAAATAAAAACTATTCGTTTGAATAAAATAAATATTTATTTAAATCTGTTAAATATTATGTCATAAGGAAATGATTTATTTGATAAAAATTAATAAATAATATGATTTCAATAAATGCTCATTTTCCTCAAATAAATGTTTTTTGCTGTTTACCTTTGAATTACTCTATTTTTTAATGTCCGTGAAAAAATTGTTAAAAAAAAAAAAAAATTCTTATAACGAGCTTCTGCATGAATCAAAATAGTGCACAAGCATCAAGATTGATCACATCAAAATAAATCTAGCAAATGATGAGTTTTTAATATTAATAAATGAAAGATAATTTTATTAATTTATTAAACTTTTTTCATTTTTGACATACTTGCGACATTGGCAAGTGCCGTCATTACACCTTCCACCAGCTTTGCCCATACTCAAACAATTGGCAGCACAAGCAGCATGACCAACTTTTCCACCGTAACTCATCAAGTCACACGTAACTCGGCGCTGTCA